AGAGGTCGTCAGTTCAGTTCCAGTTGAGGCCGCCGCCGTCGCCGTCGCTGCCGCCGCGTGTCTCTTTAGGTCTGTTGTCCGTTATAACGATGATGGCTAACATGTTGGCTCATCGTGTTGCCATTGTTGTTGTTGCTGTTGTTGTAGCTATTGCTGCTGCTTCTGCTTCTGCTGCTGCTGCTGCTGTTGTATTGTTGTTTACCTTGGCAGAAAGCGCAGGCAGGCAAGCAAATCTATGTTCCTTGTTGACTTTTGCTTTTATTTAATTTTGTGGCAAGGCGGACCGACTATAAATACACAAATGCCATGTTTACGTCGCCCTGTCAGTCTGAATAAGTGCGTGTGTTTATGTGTGAGTGAGTGAGTGAGTGAGCCAGCGTGTGTGTGTGTGTGTGTGTGGGCGCAGCAAATAAACTTTAATTGTTGCAACCACAGCGTGTCCTGGCACACGTGTTCATGTCTCTCAGTGAGACTCTGTGAATTGTTGTCGTTGTTGTAATGCTTAACTTAATGCGCTGTTATCCTTTAACTGCTTGGGCGACACACACACACACACATATACACACACTCGCACACACGCACACTGAGAGCTGCAGTACCGTCACACTAATACATATTCATGTTAATGTCAGCGCATAAATCTTGCAAAGTCTTCTAACACCTGTCAGCCATTTTACAAGGTGTTTCCACTTAATACATCGACAGAGACAGACGAAAGAGAGTGTGTGTGTGTGTGTGTGTGAGAGAGAGAGAACAATAGTTAGACAACATAAGTTGTTATAGCTTCCTTACTCTATTTCACTCCCACACACACACACTCTCTCACTCTCTCACTCTCTCTCTCACTCTCTCTCTCTCACTCCCACTCACTTTGCCTTTGCCTTTGTACGTCATGTGTCAATGTGTCTGTCATGTGTCCAGCGCTGCGTGTGATATTGACAGTTGGGAGCGGGGAGTGCGGTGGCCAGGAGGCGGCCGGGCGGAGTCCTGGTCCTGTAATCGCTGAGTGAACGCCAATTGCTCCGCATTGTGCCAAATTTGCCAAAAATGAAGGAAGACGACGATAAAGGAAAATAACTTAGACCGCAGACGCTGATGGAATAACTGTTGCCTAACTGAACTCAAAATTATGGTAGGTAAATGTGCAGATGCTTTCGGCCAAGGCAAAGCAAAGCCAAGGCAAAGCAAAGCAGCAACAACAACAACAACAACTACAACGACGACGACCGTGAGTGAGAGTGGAGGGACCCGCAACAGGATCAGGCAGCAGGATGACAGCCACGTTGACATTGATTGAACGTTGTCCACAACAAACAGCAAACACTCACACATACACACACACACACAAGCACACACACACGCACGCGCGATGTCCACGCCATTGGCCATCGCTCATTGTGTGCGTGTGCTGGGCATAGAGGAAACGGCATACAGGTTGTTAGTCACACGGTGTTGATTGTTATACCCTGGCGATAAAGGGCTACAACGAATGTGTGACAATGTTTATGGGGCCCAAAGATAATTAGCTCAACAAGGCGATAACTGTATGGCAGTCGATCATCGATAAATATGACTATCGATAGGGCCAGCTAATGGTATCAATATATGATGTGCATAGTAGTCGATTGGTTTAAGCATTTCTCTGTTGATCTCTATCAATCTAATTACATTTGTGAATGGAGCTAACAAACCCAACTACCTTTTTCTGGGCAGTCGATGTAACAGTTAAATATAGATAAGTCTACTAATCGATAGTGACTTTTGTACATTGATTACTCAATTGCGATTTGTTTAGTTATTAAAGAACTGTAGTAACGTATATTTGTATATGTTTTTACTCCATTTGATCAAAGATTAATCAGTTAATTATGCTATAAATCTGAGGGGGAATTTACTTATATAACTTCTGTGGGACGTCATATTTTTACTCAAATTTAATTTTAATTGATACATTAATATAATATTTCCAAATATTATTTATAGCTATTTACATAAACTTTATTTAACTAAAAGTATGGAATATTCAAGGTAAAATATATACATAATTTTAATAAGCTTCTCAATTACTAGGCTGCAACAGAATTTGATTTCAATTTCATTGCCGATGCAACAAATAATTTTCTTACAGCGTTTCTCAGCTTACAATTCATTTAATCTTTAAGACTTGCAACTTTATAGAGAATAACTCAAATTTTACGTAAATATTCGTTCACCTTAAATTTATTCACTCCCGCCTATCTCTGGTTTACTCTCTTAAGTTAAGTCTCTCACTCATAGTCTAAGTAGCTGAGCACTCAATTAGTGAAATGTATTTAATTCCAAATACCTTTTCCTGTTGCTGCTGCTGTTGTTGTTGTTGTTGTTGTTGTTGTTCGATAGTGTAGCTGTAGTTCGGCTTCTTAAGCAGCTAACCGCAAAAACCATTTCCTGTTCCTTTTTACTGGTTTTTGTTGTGTAGTTTGAGTTGTTGCGGTGGCGCTTTGGGTGTTTGGTTTATTTTAATTGCCTGGACTCTTTAATTGCTGAAATATTTAAATTAGTTTGCTGAGAGCTGTCGTCGGCGATTTGAGTGAGCAGGTGATTCAATTTAGTGTGTGTGTGTTTCTGTGTGTGTGTGCTTGAGAGCTTAACTTTGCGACTTACTGTAAATGTATAATGGTTCTATATGTGTGTGCGTGTGTGTGGCCTGACCGTTGCCAGCCATTAAATTACATTGAACCGCACCCGAAAACAGGATACTTTGTAGCAAACAACAATAGCAACAAAGAACTGAGCCAAAGGACGCTCAGCGAACGAGCGAGCGAGTGGGCGACAGAACGAGCAGGTTTTCCTATTTAAGACGAAATAAATTGGATTAGAAACCGCAAAAATCCAATTGTCTATTGTGGTGCGGGCTCGAAGATGCCTCACGTAACGCCCTCACGCTCAGCCCTCTCCCCTCCCCACCCCTCTCGCAGACCATGTCCACTTGCAACTTTGCCGGGCTGCTTTAGATCTTTGTAACCTGGCCGAATCTGAGCTCGAATCCAAATCCGAATGTGGGTCTTAAAATATTTAGCAAGAAATGCGGCGACTTTTGTCTGTTTTGTCAACGTTGTCACACGCTTACTCTCTCTCTGTCTCTCTCTAGCTCTTGCTCTCTTGCTTACTCTGTAACTGTCTCTGTCTGTGTCTCTGCTTGTATGTTTGTATGCAAATCAAAGACTAATTGGATTTTTAAGCTCAAACTGTCAATGCCGCTACATGGTGCTTGCTCCCTTGCTCCTTGCTGTGCTTTGCCGTTTCTGGGCTTTAGTCTGCAGCTCAGATTCAAACTCTGCTGGTTCAACCCCCGTCCTCCCTGTCGCTCGTCTCTGTCTGTTTTTGTGTTTGTGCACCTGACTAAATGGCAAAAAAAAAAAAAAAAAGAAAAGACCGTTGACAGAGGCAAATGAAACGTCGACGACCGGCGTCGTCGTACGTATTTGGATTTATGTTTTCGGTAAGCGATTTAAGCCGCACAGCAAACAATCTCCTCTGGGCGATACCAGCTAGTTGGCCGGCTGGCTAAATACGCATGCAAATTGCACACTAATTTGATTCTATTTAAATCACATTGTGGACATCAGGCGACTTGGCTTAAACGCCCACTGATGGCTGTTTTGTTTGTGGGCCAAGTCCAACTCAGAGCTCGATCTCCTCTACTAGTCGGCTGGCTGGCTGGCCAGCACAACCAATTACAGTTTCTATGGCACGCTATGCCACGCTGTGGCACGCTGTGGCACGCTGCGGTTGCTGTGCTTGTATCTCCCTCTCTCTCACTCTCGCTCAGACTCTCTTGGTCTCTGGCCCGCATGACGCGCACTCATCACGTAACAGTTTCTCGTGGTGTGTGTGCGCCTCGTCTCGTTCAAATGAGTGCCTTGAGTATCTTTTCTATTTGCGTGCACGCAGCTGCCAGCCAAACAGTCTGCAGCCTACAAACATGTCCTTGCCACCCAACAACAGCAGCAGCAGCAGCAGCAACAACAGAAGCGACAGATAACAAACACTCGACTAGTGGACCCAACAATACGCATACACTCACTCACACACACACACACTCAGCTACTCTACTATCTGTTTGACTGGCTGATGTTGGTCCCCTAAGCGGGTCGGCGCATCATACGGTCACCACGGCCAAAAACAGCTGCGAAGTAGCTGTCATGTTGGCTGCCGGACATGCGAAGTCGATAAAGCAGGGATTCATGTGCGAAAACAGCCAAGCGAAATACCCTTCCGATTGGAAATCCATTGAAATGTAATAAAGGAGGAATGTTACCATGCCTCACTTAAGCGTCCTAGCACATGCAAATTAGTGGATCAATTAATATATTTCAAATTTAATATTTAAATAATTAAATGTTGTTTACGTTCTATGGACACCACACACAACTGCAAGGACTTTAATTTTCAAATCAGAAATACAATTTAAATCATATATAGCAACTATAGTAATTAACGTTTTTAGGGTCAGCCAACCAAATAAATGCTTATGGCCAAGACAACTAGCCACTGGAAGCAAATCGCACCATCCATCGATGCCATCGATATCAGCGATACTGGCAGATCTTTATGGAAATGGAGGTAAATGGCTCCGTTTATCCATTTTCTAAATGCATATATAGATGTAAACACATGCAGCCTTCTAGCACTATGTAAGACGAATATTCCCGCAAGTTTACCGTTGCACATTATCGGGATACCAGAGTCTTCATGGTCCGCTTGAGAACCTCTGAAATATCTTTTGTAGGTGCAAAACATACCAACTGCTTGTATGGTTTTATAACATTCTGGTGAGGCGACACTATAGTTTGGTAGTGCAATCGGCTGATTGCTCAATACCTAAATTAGAAACAACAAAAGACAAATAGCTTACAAAACTACACGTTCCCATATTATAGTGAATATAATTCCTTGACTGCTTACGTCAGTATTTGCAGCCCAGCTGACTCCTACACATCTTGTGTGAGGTCTCACTCTCTTCATGGCAATCGGTACATATCCAAGTTTCCCTTTGATGGGCAGTGTATCTTCAGCAGTGAAGGCGAGTGCAATATTGTAGGACGGTCTGCCACGTTTATACAAGCCATGACATCTAATAGATTCGATTTCCAGTACTTTGGATGTTGTAGATAGGCCTTGCAGGTACGTAGCGCCTACTACACCCAATATATCCATTGGATTTTTTCTGCAAAGCATCATTTCAGAATATCAGCAGATTCACTCAGATACACACACATACCCTTGCGCACATTCGGCAGTTGTGACAAGCACACGATTTCGAATAAGAGTCGCCCCACATAAATATCCACTGCCAGCCAGTTCAGACTCCTTTTTGCGAGAACGCAGTGAGCCCAAATATGGAAATTCCTCAATGGTCACCAGTCCTGTTCTAGCGTCGGCTTCAAAGAATAAACGACGGTAAGTCGAAGTCAAGATTACTCGATTATGAGCCTGTTTTCATACACTGTTCAACAGGACTCAGATTCTCCCTTAATTTAGTAATCCCGTTAGGGCTTACCTCCGTCCATCAATAAAAATAGGCATAATAGGCCGATATTACTTATTAAAACTGATAACGCGACCATAATAACAAAGAAATACAATAAATTTTAAATTAACAAATTTAAAAATATTAAAAGATAATTTTAAAAAAAGGCCAACTGATTTAACGGGTTTCAAACACAAAAAATTGTAACAAATTCAAAATTTCTATGACTCTAAAAGCAAAGTATGTAGACTCAAGTTCCCATTCAAATGGAATAAACTACATATTGAAATTCAAATTCATTTTAATTTAACTCGATCTTCGAGGTTAGAGAGACTTCAAGTCACTATATTTTATAAATGAGTTTTTATTTAATTTATAGTTTGATGAATCTTTTATGTAATTTACAATATTTGTATATTAATTTATTATAATGTATTTTCCAAAAATTCCTTTTATAAAATTTTTTTTTCTTATTTATGTTTATTTTTTATATATTTTATTATTTTTATTTATTATTATATCGTATGAACAAATTCATTTTAATTCATAACATTTTTCCCGTTAATTTTATTCTTACAATATTTGTAATTTTTTAATTTCACAATATTTTATTATTTGTATTTTAAAACTTCCTAAGAGAACTAGACTTACAAAAGTAATTTAATCTGATACGCAGTCAAATTTATGATAGTAAGAGTATCCATGATGCCGTATAAGACCTATTGTGCCTATAGAAAACTTGATGTTGGCAGACCAAAATCGTCGAGTGTGACACTGACACAGACACAGACACAGACACAGAGGCACACACGCTTGGTCTTGGGTATGAAGGCGGGCATGCGGCGCTTAATAGTAGCAATGCCTGGCTATTTTGGGGCTGGGTCCAAGTCAAAGCCGCACAAGGACATGTGTCGCACTTGTGCGTGCCATGCATGGCATGTGCGGGAGGGTAAGTGTGCCTGCATGTGTGTATGTGTGTGTGTGTGTGGGGGGGCGTGGAGGGGGAAGACACCTATTTTATGGCGAGTATTGGTTGGTCGCACGAAACCCGTTAAATAATACAATAGACACCTTGGTATCCGAGACTTTGCTGCTGCTTTACGAGCTCGCATTCATCATACGCCGCGTGGCCGGGCCGGCAAACACTTTACGCGTTTACGAGTATTGGAGTAAAGACTCTGATTCGGGCAGGACGAGGCTGGGCGTGGCATGGCTGGCCATCGGATGTTGGCAGCGCCCGAAGTCTATTAATTACACATGTTGCGTCAAAATGAAATCGCTTTCCATTTATTTTTATGCGCTTTTCTGTACAGTTTGTCAAAGTCCAATAAGTGCAAGAAAATATCCCTCACATTTGTTAGCCCTCGGCAGTTTTCTACAGCGATTTTTCAACTAAATTATGGACTATAAAAATAGCCAGCCAAAGGATTTGGACAAGGCCGCGTGCTGTGCGCCCAATCGATGCCTTTAAAATAGAATGCAAAAAGAAAAAAAAAAAAAATATAAAAACGAAAAAAATACCCATAATAAAATGAGAAAAGAAAAAAAATACATATATGAGCATATGAGTCAAGCCGGCTTAATAAGGTCGCTGGGCGTCAGTTGGTCGCAAATATATATATATATATATATATATATATATATATAGATAGTATATATATATTACATTTGAGAACACCACATGTCCTGGTCAGAGGACTCGACTCGACTGTCAGGCTGCTCGACGCATTAGGCCTCGAGTTGAACTTGAAGCGAAAGGCAACGGCAACGGCAACGGCAACGGCAACTGGAGCCCAACTGCTGCCCAGAGTCACATAAAGGCCAATACAAGTTCCTTTCAAATTTGTTGTTTTCCTTTTTGCCAGACTTTTGATCACGTGCCGTGGCGACAGTTGCTGCCAATGGCAGATGCATTAGCACAGCGGCACATGGGCAGGAGTCTGGATCTCGCAGGCTGGCGCGCTAATTGCGCACACATTTCATTCATAATTTCGAGCCTTGGCCTTGGTCTCAGATTGAAATTCCATAGAATGGACGCCCGCTAACCAAAGCACTTTAAGCCACAAAATTAACTTGAGCTTATTCTTCACGCTCGAATGCCCAACAGAAACAACAACAACAACAACAACAACAACCAGAACTGGAATACCTTCTTCGATTTTGACAGGAAATTAAATTCGATGTATCGCTGCGGAGAGCTCGTTCAAGAGTCACTTTGGCTTCGCCTTTGTTTTATGTACCTTCAGCTCAATTCTGGGCCTCGCCTGGCAGGCTCACAATTGGAAATTCATGCGGCTTCAGTTGGTCTCTTTTTTTTTTTGCTCCTTCTCCTTCTCCTCTTCTTGTTTTTTTTTTTTTCTTTCTTGTTCTTCTTATATCAGAACGCTTCGCTTTGCTGCTGGCTGGTCTCATCTTCGCTTTTGCTTTATTTTTGCTAGCCAGTAAATAAACCGGAGATGACTTTGCGGTTTCCATTGAGCGCTCTGCGAAATAGAAGCTACTCCCAGACAGAGACTGAAAAGTGAGTTTGTTATAGGGTTTTCGTATTGGGTTTTGCGTTTGGGTTTTGTGTTTTGTGCTTTGTGCTTTGCGTTTTGCCTGGTTGAGTGGTTATTATAATTACTGCTCCCTGGGATATACTTAAATGCTTGCAGCGTCATGAATACCATCCAGGATGTGCATTCGCTTTGCCCACAGGAAGCTGAGGCTGCGACTCTAAATTGCCAAAAATTTCAGCCCCGTGTTGTCTCAAGTGACCTTCGCTTGACTTTCAGCATCGACAGGGGCATCGACAGCGGCATCGACATCAGCTGCAACATCAACAACAAGTTCAACTTCAGTTTTCAAACTTCACTTTGAACGAAATAAATTGATTTACATGCGAGTGTGGCCCACATGAGCGAGAGGGAGAGGGAGAGAGAGAGAGAGAACAGGCAGCAGCAACAGCCCACGTCTGTTGGCCAACAAGAAAGGCCACTTTGGAAAAGAATTGCCAATGAACCAAGATGAGCTGATGCTGACTCGTTTGGCCCGGCCGTCCCATACAGTCCCATCCGGTGCAGGCTCCGCTTGTGTCTCTTAGTCGAGCAGCGACAATAAGTCATTGTCAAGGTGCTGAAACGACGACGACGACTGCGACAGCCAACAACTGGCAGAGCTTGAATGTAGCCTTTGCCTGTGGGCAGAGCCAGCCCAGAGAGTGACAAAGATTCAGGCAGGTTGCCTGCCAGCCTTTCAGTTCCTGGCATTGCAATGAAGTTAATTAAATAAAAATAAAGCGACAGCAAACTGAATTGCCTGGGCACACGGCACACGGCAATGGCAATGCCAACGGCAGCCTCCACTGCAGCTGCGAATGCAATGGGAACAAAGAGAGGTGCGACTCGGGCAGCAACAAAATTCCAAAGGAACGCCCACATCGGATAGGCAACTAGCTTAGTCAAAGCTGATGCTGTTGTTGCTGCTATTGCTGATGTTGTTGTTGTTGTTGTTGTTGAAGTAGATGCATCTCTTGGCATTGCCAAGTAGATCACATGGACACAACAGTATGAAAAAGTGCCACTCCTGCAGACGCCCACAGTATCTTTGGCTGGAACTCAAGATGAAGACTACAATGCTCATCATCATCATCATCATGATGATGTTGGAATGTTAAGGGAGCGTAGCTGGCAACATTAGCAAATGACAAGCGACGCCCACAGATGCAACAGACAAGAAAAGCTCATGAGTTCATGTTCATCAGAGATAACAGAAGAAGAAGAAGAAGCAGAAGAGGAAAAAACTCTACTGAAATCCTGCATAAAAGCAAACAGAAACAAAAGAATGCCAACATAAAGTACGTTATTCACATATGAATTATTATTATTACTTATGCACATATTTAGTACTATTTAATATGATTCCAGCTCAGGAACGCAAATTAATTTCACTCGAAACAAACTTTGCGTAGACTATGAAGACGATGTCAGAGCCAGAGAGCTGCGTAGTTTGAAGAGTTTAGCTACCAAATGAAACTTTTTCTGGCAGCTCTTTAATGCTAAACACATTTGAGATATAGAGAAGAGGTGAGAGAGAGTGAGAAAGCGAGCGGCAGCATGAGAGGGAACTTTATTTATGTTGTCCATGTGAAAAATATATATATTTTATTTGACAACCAAATGCAACTGATTATACGTTGAACCCATTGAAAATGACTATGCAGAATGGATTAGTTTCATGGAAGCATACAGATGGAGGCATGCAAGACCCTATATATAGTCCTGATCAGGCTGATATACTGAGTCAATATAGCCTTGACAGCCACAACGGATTGAGACTTTAATTTTCAAGCGTATATTAATGAATATCTGATCTAGCACAAGTTGATTTTCTTCCATTTGCTTATAAAATAAGAAAAAAATAAATAAAATCCCTAATTTAGTTTTTAGTTTATGCAATATTGCTCTTAAATAGCTTTTGAGTAGTTCTCTGAGCTGATTTGTTGTCAGTCTCTTCCCTTCTATATTTGATGAAAGTAACTAACTAATTTCCAGGCTGCAATTTACTAAGACCCATTGATTTAAAAGCTCTATCGGAAGCAAAAGTTATTCATCAATAAATATCCCAAAGTAGAGTGCATAAGCACAGCCTAAATGCAGCCACTCATAGGCTCCGTAGAAAGCAAAGCTCTTACTTATGAAACTTAAGCTGATTGAAGTAATAACTCTTAGTCGAGCACTCGCCACGAGAGCAGTTTGGTTTGTTTTATTTTAAACCAATCGCTGTCAATAGTATTCAGAGAATATTGCGCAGTCAAATGCTAATAATTAGCATATAAATAACCTTTGCTAATATTAATTTAATATATTTAAATGTAAATACATACAAATGTATTTTCCAGCGAAAAACGGATTGTCTATATGTACATATATTGTAAATACAGAATACTCATCTACGACTAGTTTGCAATTAATTTCTAATTAATTAACTTGCTTCTAATTAGTAGAAAATTCACATCAATAAGCGCTTTAAAGACGCCCACACAAAACAACCCGAGTGCTGGCTCA